GGAATGTCCAGGCCTCAGCCTTATCAAAGACGCCGATGCGAAGTGAGCCATCCGGCCGAACCAGGATTCTTGCCCCAAGGAAAACACACGACCCATCTTGCTCAGTAGTGTCCTTCCACTCGAGACCATATCGAGCAGGAGGGGGCGGTAATGTCTTCCAAGATAAGATGTCATCAATGAATCGGTACGTAAATGCATGTGCTTGCGCAGCGCGTAGATCCTGCTGTCGTAATTCATCGATGAACTGTGCTTCGTCCCAATAAAGCGCAAGGTTGGCAATTTCCGGTCCAGCGTTAGTGCCCATAGGGATGCCTACCACCTGATGACGCAGAGTGCCATCCCTTGTGTAGAGATAAGTGTTCGACACCACAAACCGCAGATGCTGTTCTATCTCTGACACGGAAAGGGTGTCTGATCCATGTGAAGTAACCCACTCCCCGCGATGCGGACCTCCTACAGTCATGTACATTTGTATTGGCCTTCTTCCCTGCGGGATACGTAATCATGTGCTTCACGAACCGCATTTAGGACATTGTTAAGAATCCTATCATGTGGCAGGTTAGTGTACATGGTTGTGAAATCTGCCGTATGGGGCATACAGCCTCGAAGGGATGGTGCATTTTGCTTGAGATCTAAGATGACTTCCTCAACACTCTGTATGATCCAACAGCGTCGTACACCTACTTCTTGATAAAGCTCATTGTCCTTACTGCGCAGAGACTTGATCACGCCTTGGAGAGCATAGCTAAGTGAGCGCGAGGCCATTGTTGTACTGGCAAGAGGCTTATGAGGGGGTCTGTTATGCAAACTGGAGACCGAAGACTGGCGAGGTATTGTGCGAAGTGAAGACTGAGAAAGGTTGTTTTGTTGAGTAACACCGAGAATTGGGCGAAGACCAGGCGGGGATTGATGTGCTTTAAGTGCAAAGTAGAGATAGGGCAGGGTGTCAGTATGTCGATAGCCCCAACGCTGATTGAAAAGCGCATGGTGGTCAAGGATGCTGGCCACAGATTCCGATGTCGAATCGTAGGTAGGACTATCAAGGTGTTGTGATAACTTATACCCGTACCAGCTCTTGCAGCAGATTGCCATGTTGTGCGATGTTTTATCAACAGGCACTATAGCAAATTGTTGTTGTAGCTGCCGTAGAGATGTATTAGCAGCACGCGAGGCAGCTTGAGTGGGTGCTTGGTACTGTGACGTAGATAGATTCCGTTGGCATCTTGAAAGAATTGYTGTGCGCCATCTGCRCARCTGAGAGAGACTGTCGGCAATTAGAGACTCATTGTTGCGTGCTGATCTCATGGCTACTATGAACTTGGCAATATACTCATCCAGGCCGAGTTTCAATGCTTTCATCACATCTGTGGTGTTGGCATTGAGGCGGTACTTGGAGCCTTCAAAGAAGAGAGCCCGCAAGTGTGTATCTTGTATAACAGTGTAGTCCACTGTAGCTACATGACCATCAACAATGTCCGCACAGTGTGGAAACGCTTGTCGGCAGGGACAATTGGCAGGGTCTGGAAGAGGCATATTGCTTGTTATGGTAAGTGCCACTTCTGTAAAATTGCAGAACTGGACACGAATGGGGGGCACCATCTTATCACAGATGCGTATCTCCTTGGCAAGAGCAGGTCGTGGGTGTAATTCAGCGACCTCTGGTAGCCGAAGGACGCCTCGTAGTTGTGTGGTGCGAGCAACCTGATGCATGTGCATAACCTTAATAAAGTTTAAAAATTGAGCCCCATTATGTCCAGGGCTGAGATACGGTTGGCGTGAATATTGCAGACCACGGATCATGCATTCCAGTTGACGAATGTTCGATGTGAGCTCAGAGTTGGAGACATTCGTTAGCAACCATTGCAACAAGCGAGAGCGCCAGGCAGAGCTGGCTTGAGAGAGGGCACGAGATATGGATTCCCATTCTGTGTGGGCTGCCTGTGTGAGCATGCGATGTAGGGCTGAGCGCACAGAAAAGAAGGGACCCGGGGCAGTGTCAATCGTGAAGGGCCTATCAGCAGAAGTTTGCACTGCAAGGCGGGTAGCAGGACTATTCGGGCGGCCTCTCGTACAAATCCACCTGTTCGGACGACGAGATCGTCTGACTGGTGGTAATCGCCCTTGTGGGAGGACGCTGTTAAAGCCCTGAGGATATACCGTGGACAGGCGTCGGACCCAAAACCCTTCACGAGGAGCAGCAGCACGTTTAAATGATTCTGGATCAATGGAACCATCAGCATTCAGATAGAGATGTGGATCAATACACTCCAGGGGCCAGACAACAAAATGAAATGGAGGTTGCCTGGCCATGGAGTGATAGAGGTAACGATGGCGTGAGTGTGTCGTTTGAGATGAATGGCGGGAGTGCCAGTGCTGCTGTAAACGATAGTGAGCGGAATATGTCGTCTGCCCAACATATGTGCGGCCAGACGGTATGTGAACAATAGCATAAATAACCCCAGGGG